GCCAACGATAATTAACGCGCGAGCGTCGTCGATTATCGCGCGGCCGCGTTTCGACGACGTTGCAGGCGCGGCAGTTACGGCACAAACACCTCGCGGCGCGAGACTTTCGCAGCGGCCACGCGTATTCTCACGCGCAACGCGGCGCAACGAAAGCGAACGGAACGGCACTGCGAGTTGGACGCGCGCGAGCCTCGATCACTGGGACCGCGTTCGCTTTCGAGCGATCGAACCGCCTGAACCGCGCTGAATTTTTCGGGGTTTACTGCCTTTAGGCCCGGTCCGTTTCTCCCTCCCTTCGGGGCTTAAATTGACCCGTCGTTCTCGATCCACCCATCCCCCCATGCGGCCCACGCCTCCCTCTCTGTTCTGCTCTCCATTGCTGGCAAACGCCCCCCACCTCCCATTCCATCCCATTCCATGCCATCCCATGCCATCCAACCCTCGCCTCCTCCCCGTCCCGCACCTCGCCTCGCCTCACCTTGCCACACAGCTTCCAACCTTTTTACCCCGTACTACCCTGCTTCCGCCTCCTCCGCCTCCTTCTTCTCTCCTCCACCTCGTCCTCCTCTCACGGTCCCTCCCCGAGTCACCTCCTCCTCTCACCCCCTTTTTATCCTGCTCTCCCTCACGCGCACCACTCATTATAGTTCCTCCCTCCACTACAACCATCCTCCCTCACCCCTTTACTGCTCTTCGCAGTCCGCTTCAACCCGCTTCGTATCCCACCTCCACACCCTCCTGCACGCCACCACCCTCCACCCGATCCACTGCTCTACCGCAACCCCGGGAAAACCCTGGAAAATCCAGCAGCGTACACCTAACTTCACCCTGTATATACCACCTATGTGTGGTGGAAGAACGTGAGTGCGCGTCCGCGCACCTCTATGTGCACAGTTATATGCATGTATGTACTTTGTATTTCTACCCTATGTACGGGGCCACTACGAGCACCGCATATACACGGCCGTAAAATGGACACGCGTGCGTGCGTGCGCGCTGTCTAATAGGCACACATAGCTTAGTCGGTGAGCGCGCGAGATCGTTTGAAGGTCGATCGAGCGCGGGCCTACGTACGTTTCGTCCAAGAATCCTCCTTCCGCCGTTCTTTCCATTACGCGCCGCGAAAACACAGCCAGAGACTCGCCACCAACCTCCAGAGATCTTTTTCCCCATCGAGATCGATTTCAATCGAGACCGTATAAAGGGCCTTTAACCCTCGAACGACCGAATTACGCGTGTTCGCGTTCCTTACTTTCTAACTGGTAATTACGTATTTTATTATCGCACACCGCGTTTACGCGCGATCTCTCACGCACGATCATCTTTCTTGCGACATTCTCTTTCCCGAATCTACGATCTCGAGGAGTGGACAATTTTACGCCGATTTTCTATTTCACGCGATTAGAGACGCGGCGTGTACGACGTGTATCTCTGACTGTACGAAACGAGTTCCATTCTTCGCGTAAGTATCGTCGTGTCGCGTAGACGTAAAAAGCCACGTTAATCGGTTATTCGGTTTATCGCCGTGAAACAAAGTATTGGAAACTGTGGCGGCAACGACTGATCCAGGCTGCGCGAGAGTTAAAAAGGCCGATGGTGCGAGTCGAATGATCACCGGATCGAGGAAGCCTATGGATGCTTGGTGGAATAGCCGTTTCGTTTAAAACGGAGAAAAAAAGAAAAGCGACTTGTGGACGATGCCGCTTCTCAGCGAGATCAGCGAAGCGTAGGCGGCGAGCAGAGACGTTAAACGAGCGAAGCAACGAATCAAGCAGCGACAAGACGGTTGCTTGGCTACGCGTTTGCGTTGTCGAGAGTCGTCGTTCCCCGCTTGGTTAGAAGCCGCGTTAAAAATAACCGGTGATCGTTGTTCGGTCGATCGCGCCGAGCACGCATCAAGGCAAGGAAAATAGGGGGAACGACCGAGTTTTTCGATGAGCATTACGCGCCAACCGGCTTGGGTAATTTGCGTTCCAACGAGCCGCTTCTCGTTACTGTTAATCGCGTTCGCGGATCTTGCGCGATTTCTCTTAACGCGACGCAACGCCGCGTCGTTGAGAACGAAGGCCACGTTACGCGTAATCGCGACCAAAATCGAGAAAGCATTCGCGATACATCTTTTCTTGCCGCTCTCCAGGGAACGTGGTACGCTCGTGTGTTCCGCAGATGTTGTCGAGAGTAGTGGAACAATAGGTTTTACGGTAAGAAGACAGAGATCGAGAGTTCAACTCACAGAAATGGTTTCCCGGTCCGGCGTAGTGGTGGCCCTTGTAAGCGGCGAACAGTCCCGGGTTGATTCCAATCTGTGACAAAAATCGATCCCATTAACTTCAAGCCGGATAGACTCTCGGGTCGAGGAGCATGGAGATCCTGGCGATCGTGGTCACCGATCTCGTTGTTGGTCGTAAGCGGATCGCGAACCTTCTTCCACGTTCGTCCGCGAACGGCGATAACCACGCGGAAATCATGGCAATACGCTTAATTTAGGTTTATCGGCTGTTCGTCGATTTATTCCCGCTCGAAATACTCGTTACGAAGGCGCGCTGCTTCAATCTCCCACAGATCATTACGCGGTAGGCTTATTTCCAACTAGTTTCCGTACCCGACGATGGGATTATTGTCTTGGCAGGTTTGTTCGGCGGACGTCGTTCGAAGCGACTCGTCCTCGTTTCTCGATGTTTCCCGCCTCCACGCCTTTCGTCGCGTCGAAATCTCTCTTGCTAGCGAGAAACTTTGTACGCCGTTAGCTTGGACGCTCCGACCATCGATCGATCGTTTCTCTGCCGAAAACGCGGCGAAAGTAGCATCGGCTAAGCCGCTAGTTGCCGGGCCACGCGTAATTTTCGTCCTCGGTCGAAAGGTTCTCGCGAGGAGAACGTGACGAACGTGGAAGATAACGATCCTGCTGAACACGTTGGCGTTCGCTGTTTCGTACGGTCAATTCCTTTCCCGGCGCGAAACACGCGTACACGGATTTCACATACATCGTTCTTAGCCGCGATTATGCAACGCGGTAGAGACAGGTGTGGTAGTACCTGTTGCGCAACCACATTATCTTCGCTCTTCGCTCCGTCGGTTGAACAATTAATAACGACAAAGTCCAAGGATACGTGACAGGGACGCTGTCGGACACGTTCGTCCTCGCGTTTCTTCCCGCTTTTCGTTTATTCTCTGCCAACGACTTTATCGCGGTAGCCACTGATCACCGATATCCGTCCCGATTATTATACGCGACAACGCTTGTTGTCTTTCCGTTCGTTGTTCACCAACGATAGACACCGATCGTAACTTTTTACACTTTTCTCGGTCAGAGTAACCGAAGCCTCGGGCGTCGACCAAGTACGTGTTATTTTTCTCGAGAGGGACGGTAATAAAAAATAAGGATAAAAAAATAGCGAGCAGGAAAAAGTTGTTTTTTTTTTTTTTTTTTTTTTAAAAAAAAAAAAAACACAAAAAACGAA